CGCGCATTTATTCAATAAACGGGTTCTTGCTTCACCCTCCCTTTTTGGGAAAAAAAAAAAAAAAAAAAAAAAAAAAAGATGGGATAATAAGATGTGGTGCAATAAGAGGAACAATTTTATGAAGAGGAGGACGAAGTGAGATTCTTTCATTGAGTGGATGTGGAAGTGGCATTATCGGCACCTGAATTGTATGATCATCAGGTATCGGTGCATTCGAATCAAATAAATTTAAATTTTCATTCAAAAATTTGTAAAATAAATTATGTAATGCATAAGAGCTTTGTCCATCCCCAATTCCATGATATACAAACAAAACTCCCAGTTCATTCCTCCCTTTATTAAACACAAATATCACACGCCACAGCGGTATATTAAAATTATCCTGGTGAAATCCAATTTCATGTTGCGTCTCAAGTAATCGTTCTAATTCCTGATCTTCAATCTCATTATTGAAAGTCACGAAAGAGACAATCGACGTTAAATCTATCATAGGAATATGCACGAATTTCGGTGAATTAGATTCTAAACCAAAGAATGCAACCGAAAGTGCCGGAAGTGCCAGAACCAAGGCTCTCAGTGTTCTGTAAAGTATTGGCGTTATTTTCGTCCTCACATTTGCAAATGGAATAGACGACAGTTTTGTGTGGGTATATCGTACGTAGGAGGTGATGTTTGTGTAATAGTTTAGCGCATGTTGGATTGTGTAGTATCGCTCCAGCGGTGAGAGAGGACGAAGCACACTTGGTGGTAGCGGTGATTCACAAGACATGTAGTTTTATGCTAATTATGTAAATTATGACGGCCGAAAATCTACAAACCGTTCGTTTTATGAATTTTTGGTAGGAAACGAGAAGATAAAGTTGAGAAATAAACAGTATATGCATTACACGTATCCAATGTGAAATATATATCTGGATCAAAGTAACTTGTATCGATATCGATATGGCTTTCGATTTTAACTACTATAATTTCCCTATTTAGTAGTTTACAAATGATTACCAACATGACCAATAAATAATGCTGCCTTACAATAAAATAATCTACTAATGTACCGTAAAAATAAGCAACCATGTGATGTTGTCTTTTTAGTACTTTTTCTTATTTATCACCTATATTTTATTATATTAATTGTAACATTCTTATAATAAATATTGTCATGAATTGCTTATTTTCGAGACTTTACGTAGTAATAGTAGTAAAAAATAGTACATGTATTATATGTAGTAATTAATACAATTTACTAAATAGGAAAATTATAATAGTTCAATTGAATACCATATCCGTATAAATGTAAATTTGGTAATTCCCAATCCCTTTCCTAAGATAGTTAATCGCATAATCTTCGGCGTATTTTTCACAGATCGTAGTTTGCTCATTGTCTATCACAATTGTGTGATTTCTGCATATTTTTTAGTATGATTGCTTTTTCTTCTGTTTGCGTAATTATTTTTCTTTGTTAATTTTTTTCTTTTTCGATATAACATTACTTTGAACTTTGATAGTATAATTATTGGATTGTTAGCTTATTTATAGCATAAAATTGCATAAAAAGACTTAGTAATGATGTAGTAGCAGAGAGAGTAATATGTAGTAGCAAAGAGGATAATGTTAATAATAGCTCACAAATAATAACGAAAAACAAATAAAAACTCAAAATAATTCCTCCCAAAAAGAAGCAATTGCGTACAATTCATCCCAAAATAATAAAATACTCACACCATTCGTAAAAGCGTCACAATCATTACAATCGTAATTGTAATCTCGATATAGATTGGTTAGGATCTTTGCGCCAGTAAA